TTGGACGGCCTCGACCGAGGCCTCAGCCGAGAAGCCGACGCGAATGCGTGTGCGTAGTTTCTTCTCGCCCGGCTTGCTGTTGGCTGCCGCGTAGGGACAGTTACCATATTCCATATCACAGTAAGTCGACAGAGCGCGATAAGTCGAAATGCGATTACGTAAATCTACTGAGTTTTGAATCCAAAGATTCGGTTGCTTATATGTGGTATCAGAGATTGGAAGAAGCTTCAATTCATTAGGGGAATTGTTGATGGCTTCCTCCATAGACTTCAGAACTGTCGACAAGAGCGCCTCCGCCACAGTTCCTGAATCCGACCCTTGATAGTCCATGGAGAAAGTAGTCTCAAAGATGTGACACTTGCCTGGTATCCCTTCCTTGTTCACCTGAATGAGGTTCGAGATCCGTTCGGCCAGTGTTGGGGGACGTGGAACGCGAGAGGGAGTTGTTTCCGAGGGCTCCATAAAGGTCCCTGTACCTGCTGAGTCTTGTGTTGCCGTAAGTTTAGGAGAAGTCAACGGTAGAGTGTTGTCGTCCATGGCCTCATCGTGCGGGTTCGCCCCAGCGGTATTGACCCGTTTGTCATCATCGTCTTCCTCCATTGCGTCGTCCACAATGTTCTCCCTGTCGTTAGTGTCGTCAGCTTCAGTGTCTTCATCTTCATCCGACAACTCAGGCGCCTTAAAGGCATTCTTTTTCACCGCCACCACTTCAACCTCGTCGAATTCTTGAATTCCACTACCGTCAAACGAGTCATCGTCACTTTGTAGAGGTGCAAAGCGATTTGAGTTTTGCACCTGGTCCCCTTTGGAGCTGGTGGATTCGCGTTGAACATCCATGTCTGGTACGTCAATAGAATACATCGGATCGTATATTTTTTGGATACGAGGCGGATCCGGTTCCTTCACTGATTCTCGATTTGGAGCATTGTTGATAGACTTGCCACTTCTTGTTTGTTTGATTGCGTCGACAATTGCGGATGGCGGGTCGTCGTAATACTCCAACAGAAACTCATTAATCCAAGGATAATCAAACAACTCGGAGCAAATTAACCAAAAGCCCACCAAGGGATGCTCCAAGCGTAGCCGTGGATTGGACATTTCGCCGGAAAAGAAATGGTTGTCGTCCGGTTTGCCCTCAAACTCATCAATACCGAAAAAGGAAAACGGATTTTGTAAGGAAATCCGCATAGCCAAAATACGTAAAGACCAGATTTCTTCAGACGGATTCACTTCCATCGTTTCAGTGTCAAATGCGGCAATTAGGTACTGTGTCAATTGACTATTATCCGAATTCATCGTTGTGAAAATGCGAGCGAAACGATCTTCACAAGTTGTTGTCCCGGTATTGTCGTTAAATGGATCGTCATACCGGAGGCAGGGTTGGTTCCAAGCAGCAGGAAAACGTTCTTCCCACGCCATAAAAAGCGCGTTACCCGTATGGATACGGTCATGACGTTCCAATGCTTCGTCGACAGCATCTCCTGAATATAAATTCTTCATCCACCACTCCGACAGGTTTGGAACAATGCTGTCGTAATGTCCACTCCTGCAAGCTTCTCGTTCGGCGATTCGTTTTGCCTCAATCTCATCAGCCATGCGTTGCGCTTCATTGTCGTCGATAACACGCTTCTCGTCAGTTTGGGTTTCAGGCACCATCTTGGAATCGATGGGATCCCTGTCTTTAGGCTGTTGTAGGTCAATTTCCACTCGTTTTTTTACGGACTTTTTAGCCCCAGAGGACGTTTTCAGCTTAGACACGCCCGACTTTTTTGTCATCGCCGAGGATGCCTTCGCGTTGATAGATTTGCCCATGGTGCGCCGGTGTTGAATGGTTGGCTTGGTGATAAATTCGAAAGTTTTCTACGTAAATTCAGTACTAGCGCTACGCGAGGCAGACTGGTTGGTTCTGCCGGAATGCGTGTTGTTTCGTTTCTGAAATAATTTTTTCTATAGAGGCACCGTCCATAGCGATCTCCGATCCGCCTAATAGGAAAATAATCATCTCTACAGGAAATAACTATTCTAAAAGACTTGTTATCTACATGGAATGGGCAAAGCAAAAGCCTTGCACGAAAACTCAAATTTCCCAAACCTTTACTGGATGTTTGCAATCCAGAAAGGCCGGTACAAAAACCCAGGTACAGAACTCCCGCAGGATTCAGTATGGGATTTTCGTGGCGCTCAGACGTTTGATGGTCCAAGCGCACAATTCCATGTTTTCGGATTCCCTGCAAAACCGACTCATATGAATCCCCCGAATAAACGGACTAAACGGACATTTGTCCGTCTGTCCGATCGGACGTGTCGAACTGCTTCTATCAAGGAGTTTCCAATGAATGGTCTCCAAGAGAGCAATTTCAACAGTAACGTGCCTGAACCTACTGCGGATCTTCCTATCGACAAAGAACCCACATATGTCAGCAGGTCCGGAAGAACCATCAGGCCACAAAATCGGATTACCCTCCTTTCAGCTTTCTTTGCTGCCAATTCCCCTCATGTCATCAACAACGTGGAAGCGCCCGAATAAACGGACCAAACGGACATTTGTCCGTCTGTCCGATCGGACGTGTCGAACTGCTTCTATCAAGGAGTTTCCAATGAATGGTCTCCAAGAGAGCAATTTCAACAGTAACATGCCTGAACCTACTGCGGATCTTCCTATCGACAAAGAACCCACATATGTCAGCAGGTCCGGAAGAACCATCAGGCCACAAAATCGGATTACCCTCCTTTCAGCTTTCTTTGCTGCCAATTCCCCTCATGTCATCAACAACGTGGAAGCGCTGATGCAACTGTTGCAACCTGATGTCGAGTCAATGGGCGAACCGAACCCGTTTGCCATGATATCTTCGTTTGTTGCCACGTCCAGTGGGTCCAATCCCGACACCCTGACACTAGCGGAGGCACTCCAACAACTCGATCGGGAGGAATTGAACAAGGAGCTGACTGATCACATTGATTGCAAACACTGGAAGGTTGTCCCATTGAAGTCTGTCTCTCGTGGAAAGAGACCAATCCCCATGATATGGTCTATGAAGCGCAAACGAGATCCTCTTAGCAACTTCACCAAGTGGAAAGCACGACTCTGTGCCGGAAGTCACCGATCCGTTGAGTTTGTGGATTATTGGTCTACTTATTCGCCAGTGGTGTCATGGAGCACAGTCAGAGTTCTGATCATGATGGCGCTTGGAAAATGAGATCAATTGACTTTGTCCTGGCCTTTCCGCAAGCTCCTGTAAAAACGGACATCTACATGAAACCGCCAAAAGTTCCGACTGGGTTCGCGATCCTAGACCTACCGAGACCTAGTGATTGCATAACCAAGTGCTACAAACTCATCAAGAACCTTTACGGCCTCAAAGACGCGGGAAAAACATGGTTTGATTTCCTCTCCAAAGGGCTAGAAGAACGCGGATGGACACCTTCTTCAGTGGATGCGTCCCTATTCACAAAACAAGGCATCATGTTAGTTGTCTATGTGGATGACGCTATCCTCATCTCACCAGACGATTCGCTCATTGATTCAGAGATCCAATCCCTCAAATCCTCCTACTTCTTGACAGACGAAGGGCCTCTAAAGGATTACTTGGGTACGAGATTTGTGCGCGCTGAGGACGGGACTATCGAAATGACCCAACCAAAAATGATTGAGCGGGTGCTTGAGATCGTGGGGTTGAACTAAGAAAACGCTAAATTGCATGATACACCAGCATCTAGTTCCAAACTTCTTGACAAGGATCTGGACGCAGCCGAGTGAACCCAACAATGGAACTACAGGTCTGCTGTGGGATGTTTATCCTATATTCAAGCTATGATTCGGCCAGACATCACCATGGCCGTCCAACAGTGTGAGCGCTTTTGTAATGATCCAAAACGAGAGCATGAAGAAGCAGTAAAACGAATTTGTCGCTACCTTATTTGTACCAAAGATAAAGGATTGTCATTCAAACCGGACCTCACGAGGGGTCTAGAATGTTTCGTGGACGCCGACTGGGCAGGATCATGGCAGAAACGTTCTGCACATGATCCCTTGTTGGCTCACTCTCGCACAGGCTTTGTAATCATGTACGCAGGATGTCCCATAGTCTGGGCCTCAAAGATGCAAACGCTTGTTGCTCTGAGTACCACAGAGGCTGAATACATTGCACTCTCTTCGGCACTCCGTTAAGTAATCGGACTCATGAACCTTGTTAATGAACTCCATGACAGAGGATTTGATCTCCAATGTGGGATTCCCAGGATTGTGTGTCGCACATTCGAAGATAATCAAAGCTGTATTGAGATTGCCACCAATCACAAAACCAGACCACGTACCAAGCAGCTTTCTGTTCGACTGCACCATTTCCGTTCTCATGTCGAAACGGGAACAATCAACATTGAGCACATCTCCACAGAGGAACAAATTGCGGACATCTTCACTAAACCCTTACCTTGAGATCAATTCATCAAGCTTCGCGACAAGCTAATGTCCTGGTCCTTCATCTCCAATCGCGAGGGAGTGAGAGAATAATGGGTTATTGCGATTGATTCGATTCAACCAGCATGACCGTTGTTCTCTCATTTAAATTGAATTGACGGGATTGCACGCTTTCCAGCGAACTTCAAACGAGCTTCAAATAGTCTTATAATCTTGTAAATACTCGATTGTCAACAATTCTTTCATGCGTCCATTGACAACGCAAAATCTGACTACAATCATCAATTACGTCAACTTCTACAAAGCATATCTTGAAATATCCGAGACCTAAAATTCGCAGTGTGATGAACCCCCAATTTCTAATTGGATCTGCGATATGAAGGCATAGATGATGTTATTAGTTGTGCTCGAACGTCATCTCAAAAGTTTCAGAGGCATCGGTCGACATGTACACCAAACAATCATTGTTACCTCGTTCAAAATCCGTCGGAATCCTGGCTAAGGCCAGGATCATAGAGTATATCGTCTTGCGACGCTATGCATGAGGCCAGTGCTGTGTTGTAGAGACACATTATTGCGATCCTGTTGCTTTCTCCTCTTTTCTTTTCTCTTCGTTTTCTTTTCTTTTTCTTCCTCTTCCCCCTTCTTTTTCCCCGGGGGATCTAGTATAAATAGTTGGACCAGCATAGTAAAAAAGCCTAGCACTTTCTAACTTGACCGTAACTCAACATGCAACAACAGGTATTGTACACGAAAATTCTCGCTCTCGCTTATCGCCAACACAAACTTCAGCAACGTAGAAATGATAGGCGATAGAGCAGATCCTTCGGGAGAGGGCGGGCCTAACAACACGCAAGCTGCTTGGCGTGAACGAGAGCAAAGACAACGATCACTAAGATTTCCTTTAATGTTCTTACTTATGATGTTGCTGATGGACGGCGAAGAGCAAAACCAACAGCGGAAAAACTTCGACAGAAAAACTTTGCGAAAGGAAATGCAAGGGATGGAAAAAGCGATTATTAAGTCTGTATACTTACAGAGACATCGACAGGATGCAGTGATTCAATCCATCGTAAGGGAGCACCACAGATACAAGTATCTAATAGAAAGGAATGAGGGGAAAGATGTGTATGAACAAATGCGAAATTGGAATGAATCGCAGTCCGAAAATATCTCCGGCTCACCCCAGGATGAAGTTAGGTTCTATCCGTGGAATTGTAGTGGTAGCTACCATGGAGATTGGACACGAATTGAAAGCACGAGAAATGGACTTCGTCTTGACGAAAGTGAAAATTTGCAGAACCCAGGCGTGACAAAGCGAAGTCTGCCAAGCTCACAGAGTAAGATGTCCCACGAATTCGAAAGGCTCCAGTCGATTGGGGTGTACAAACTTCCGCATGGGAGGTGTCTTTCATTTCACAATGCCTTGGCGCCAAACAAAGACGCAAGCAACGGAGGTTATTCCAAAGAAAAAGTGCTGCCCCATGGGCCATGGCGAAGTGAAGAAAGCTCCGAAAATCCTCTTTTGGCACTGACAAGAGAATCAGGGAAGGTTGCCTTCCACCTGTATTCCCGTCCTGTTCCTGCAATGAAAGAAATTAGCATAATCGATGGGTTTGCCAAAATATACGACACAGCCACTCCAGGCTACTCTACGGGAAGGGATATTGTCTTGCGGGTTTCAGGCGTGCTCATTAGATCGCTTGGACGTATTTCACTGGTCTCGCGGTCATCATCTGGCATAAGTTCATTCTACCTCAAGGGTTTAGAGAAGAGCTTTCTAAGGTCACAAGAAGTTCAAAGCGATAATGCAACCAACACAGTGCAAGCACCAGACAGAAGACTTGAAACTGCCCAACTGCAGAATTCTACAAATATCGATAGTCTTGTAACGTTCAGTGAAGAGAAGTACCCCGAATTCAGCACCAAAGAACTGATGAGACAGCTTGGTGACAGCATTAATGTTTCGTCTTCATGTGATAAACCTGGATTGGTTTTCCCCTATCCCTTCGTTGCAGACGACAAAGACCACACCCTTCGCCGGGTTCCACAACAAGCTATCCGTCCAAAATCACGCAAAGAACAGCTACTAGAGAACAATGCCGGTGGTTGCGATTTCGAGTTTACTTTAGATGTCCGTGACGAAGAATGGAATTTCAAGGACTTGTTGGAGGCAGTTGGAAAAGAACAAACCACGAATATTCTGATGGATGATTCAGGAAAAGAGGACAAATCTAGATCTGCCCGTGCCTTGCCGGGCGAAAAGAAGAAAGTGAAGAATGGGAGACGAGAGCGGCATTTTGTAACGGTTCTGAACGGGACCATCTTTTCTCCGAACTGCAACAACTTTTCTGCAAGTCTAAATGCGACAGCGCTTCGTGTAGACATAGATCGCCCCGTGGATAGTGCGATGAACTATTCCTTCTACATGATGCTAACATGTCTGACACAAATAGTTCTTTTGTTACGACAGCTACTACACACCCAGGCACAAGGGGCTGCGAATAAGGTGTCATTGGTCTCCATCGGGTGCCAAGCAACACTCGACGCAATTTTGTGTCTTACCCATGTATACCTGAGTGTGATAATGCCGTTTGCTTTCACTGCTCTTGCAAGCGTTGCTTTCTTCAAGCTACTAATTTTCTGTGTTGTCGAGCTGAAATTTATGGCAATTGTACTCCAGGCTCGGAACTCAAATACACCTGGAAACTCTGCTGAGAATTTGAGGCGGCAAATAACCCGAATGCACCTCCGGTTCTACCTATCCCTTGGGTTGATTCTATTATTTCTTTTCTACGGTTGGGGATCCTACAAAAGACTTTGTATTCTTTCTCTGTATTCATTCTGGGTTCCCCAGATTTTCAGAAATGTTGCCACTGAATCCAAGCGTGCTCTGCGGCGCCAATATGTTTATGGAATGAGTTTGACGAGACTTCTTGCCCCCTTCTTTGTATTTTCAACAGAGTCAAGCTTTCTGAAAGAGTTGTTTCCTGGCACCATTGCGGACACTGGCTTGTGCCAATTACTTGTTGTTTGGATAGGGATACAAGCAGCTCTCCTTGAGGCGCAAGACAGATTTGGGGCACGCTTTATGATACCAGCTCCTTTCCTGCCTCCTAAGTTTGACTACTTTCGCCCAATTCCAGGGCATTTGCTCCCTGCCGGGTCCCAGACAGGAGCTTTGTCCGAGACCTGTAACGTGAGCAATCATTTTGCTGATGGGAGACCTGTCATGTCTAGAACAAATGGCCAATCGAGTGGCTCCGGAGCAAGACATAGAAATCGAGGAAGCCGCACTAGAGTGGGGTCCGGAACAACAAGTGAAATAGCGGGCACACCTGGAAGCAGGGGTTTGTTGCGGCTTGATTGCGTAATATGCTACAATGACATTGATGTTCGGAGTAGACAGAGCTACATGCTTGCACCTTGTAATCATGTTTTCCACAAAGAGTGTCTTATGCGTTGGATGGAGGTGAAGATGGAGTGCCCTGTATGCCGAACAGATCTCCCTGCCATATAATGTTGCATCAACTCTCAGCTACTACTATTTCATAGTGAAATGCTAGCAAAGTAAACAAGTAGGAGTCTGTATCTTGATTGAGATAGAGGTGTGGTCTTTCATTTTCATCCATTCCTATTCAACTATTTGCCGCCAAGAGTAGCACTATGCACGAACTACTTTCAACTTGGATATTGTCGTTCCAATGCGCACTGGGCAAGATTGGCACACCAGGCAAGATATACGTCCAGAAAGAAGGGTGTGGTGCTGAAAGTATATATAACTGAATCATTCATTGTTTTTATGCTACTTCTAGAGTATCCAACTGCCGGTGTAATACGGCTGTAGAGGCCAGGAACCAGGTAACTTTTGGTCAACAAAGTTTGAACCACGTGGAGGCATTCAATAGAGGAACGTTGCTTGTAAGTCAAAAGAGTCAAAGGACAATCGGCTCTCCCAGGCAAGGTGGGGTGGAGAATATGTATGTGTTAGACTGGGGTATGTGTGGCTTGTGATGTACCAATACCAGAATTACTTGCGTAATAATAATAACTGAGACATTAATCGTTAGGATGCTACTTTATGGGCATTCGATTGCCGGTGAAATAGTCGGCTGTAAAGGTCAAGTACTGTGGAGCGGTGAGTCAACAACGAGTTTGAACCATGGGAGGCATCTGTAGCTAAACAGAAGTTGCTCAAGTCATGTCGTTAAGAATGACTTCTCCTGCGGCGAGGCGGGGTGAATTTGGGGCACTTATTTTCCCACGAACATTGGGAAGCGGTCAGGAGGAGGAGCAGAAAAGATAGTCCGGAGGCTACGGCGTTGAGCCCGGAGAGAGCGACAATAGGCCTTGCGCTCCTGTCGAAGTAGCTTCAGCCACTCTTCCTTGTCCACCAGTGACTTACGGAGGACACTGTGACGGCATGTCAGCATGCGTCAATTATCCGGAGGTAAATCGGCTGAACCCATATCAAACTGAGAGTGAATTCCCACGTTGACAGCACAGTGACGTTCACGGAGCTGAACATTGTCATCCGAATGTTGAACGGCGTTCCATTGTTCCCACATATAGAACCCAATGGAGATGAGTTGCTGGGAGAGACGGGAAGCCCACAGAGAAACCGACCGACGACTGTGAATCTTGTCAAAATAATTTTGTTGTAGCGACAGCCACAAGGAGGCTAGTCTGCCTTCCAAAAGTCCCTGACACCCAATAGCTTCCTGTGCCTTTTATAAACTTTCTCACTATCGATTGAGTGTCAGATGGACTTGCTCTACAGACCTGAATGGGAGCCTCAACGCCCTGTCTGTCTCAACAAGCAATCCCTGAGATCGAATCTACGTTGGCAATGGTCTGCCTTTGGGCACCAGCGACTCTGGGCCTCAGCCTCTGGAATAAGCAGTAGTCTTATTCAATCAAAGGTCTTACTTTTATTTACTATACTTGTTTGGACCTCAACGTCCACAATACTATTCTTGCCAGAACTCAATCGATAGTGAGACTCTCGATTGCAGTTCAAAATAATCTTCCAAATTCTCACAATTCTCATTCTTGATCACCTTTCTACGTGATGACGCGTTCTGACATACTGCGTTTCATATTAAGCATGATCGACACTCACGTCACTGCTGCGTCACATCACATAGACCATTGGTCAATAATCGACCAATATGATTGCTCAATATATCAATACGTCCAACACACTCCTGTCGTTTCACCAGCGACTCCAGTTGATGGAACAAAAAAATTACCTCTCAATACAAGTAAAATATCCAAGATCGTTCATCAGGACTAATCCTGGTCACCTTGAATTACAGCCCGGAATCTGCGAAACTTTTCGCCCTGTAGCGGCTTTGTCATGTAATCTGCCCACAATTCATCAGTCGGCATGTGTTCAATAGTAATGTTGCCCAACTCAACTTGATCTGTCACAAAGAAGTATCAAACATTTAGCGCACGGCTCCTTTTGCCTGCGCTCGATCTGCCATTTGTTTCAAGTACGATCGAACTCTTGTTATCTTGATATAGAATATTCTTCTCGATTGGGTGACCTTGTTCTTACATAAATAAGCGTGTCCACAAAATATTGGACATCACATCATGAACTCCAATTAGTTCAGCATGTGTACTGCTGTCACAATTCAATTTCTGCTTTCGTGTAATTGCTTGCACTGCTCCAGTGCCCATTGTCATCACAGCTCCAGTATGACTCTTGAAGTCTGGATGAACAGCAACAAGTCTATGCCAACACCTCCATCCTGGCATCTGACACGTGGGCAAAGCGGACCTGGAGTGAACTCGACTCTCTCTCCATCCACCTGGAGTTTGATTCCCCTTCTCTTCAGCCCCTACGCCAAG